CAAAAGTCTTTTTGTTTTCCTTTGGGTATCCAGGCTAATTCTCGGGGCTTCATGAGCATAAGAGCATGGCTGGAGAGATACCCTACAGGCAGATATATATCTGAATGTATAATATGTAAGCACGAGTGTTTAAAGATACATCAGTGTGTGCTACATCTCCATGTAAAAGGCTAGGAGTGACTCAAGAGGCTTCTGCCTGTGCTCTCCAGAGTGTAGCACAAAGGTCGGGGGAACCTTCCTCATTGCTGAGAAGCTGGATACAAATTTGGTGGTTTCCACACAGCACGTGCAAGCTGACACACTCTGCCCACCAGAATACTTGCTGTAAATCCCTGCTTTCTACTGGGCATTGCTGAATGCATCGAGTATCTCCTGATCCTCCCTTTGGGCAGTGTGATGGGTCCCAGATTCATGATCTTTTCTCTTGCACTGTAGATGAAGAAACTCAATGGCCATGGATGGTGATATATGAAGCAGAAAAAAAAAAAAAAAAAAAAGGAAGAGGTAGAACTAGGAGGGAGCCATGAGAAATGGGCAGGCAAAATTATTTCACAACTTGCTGCTGGTGGTATTGGATTAGTTATTTCCTTGGACCAGAGGACATGGGCATTGCAGCAGTGATGGTTGCAAGATGCACTGTGTGGTGCAAGAGTGCTGCCAGCGTGGATGCAGGTATGAACATCGGCCTGCAAAGGCCAGCACTAGCTCCTGGGAACAGCTCTGTGGTGAGGCCATGCTGCGGTGGCAAGAGCTGCAGAACTCCTTGGTCTCTACTCTGTGGAAAGTCACTTTCCTTTAACAACTCTAAGGAGGACAGACCACTGTGACCTACAGTTTACCAGAAAGATTTTGCACCTTTTTACTGCATGGGGCTGTAGAGGCTCTGCTGAGTGCAAGCCCTGCTGTCACAAGCAACCAGCCATAAAATCTCTCTTCAATTACACTTGTTTTATTATCGTAGTTTAGCCTCTTGTCCCCTTCACTCCTACTGGAAGCCTTTCAACTGTTTATGTGCCAATATGATGTTTCACCTCGAGCAGTTCTTGTTCTCAGCTGGTGCTTCCCTGCCATGTGTGCTCACGTGCAGTAGTCACATCCTCTCACATTCACCTCTTTGCTAAGTTAGCTGTGACATCTGATGATGTACTGATGTCACGAGAAAAAGCTGGAGGGAGGGAGTCCCTCTCTATCTCCAGTCTGTTTAAGCCTTTCCTGGTGGCAGAAGGATTCTGAGGGAAAACCACCTTGAATCTCCCATTCCATCTGAGCCCTGGGCCATGTCCATCTGACAAGCCTCCCTGGCCCTGAACGTGACAGTTACACTATTGACTGCTTGCTTGCTTGCAGTTAGGTCTGTATTTCACGCATTAATGCTCAGCATCACAGCTTCTCTCTCGCTCAAGGCTCCCTGCTCTGCTATGTATTAGACACCGTGGAAGCAAAGGAAGGCCACAGGTCTTCCATACTTATGAGACTGGGGGCCTTCATGAGGCCTTGAGCTCAAAGGAGACTCCTAAATGAAGACATTTCTTCATTTTGCTTGTACTGGGATATTGTTTCAAAAACGATTTTGCGGGTACATTGATGAAAAACAGCTATGATCCTCTCCAGCACAGTGATAGTTTCTGTAATTTTCTCTAAGTACAGCCTTAACGGAAATGACAATATAATGGCTTGCCTTTAACGGAGAGCACAGACTACCTTATATTAACGGAGTAATAAAAGTAATCGACCTGTAGCACATTCATCTCCAAGCTGGGAGTGTGTGTAGACAAGGTGATAAGGCTGTTACGCCAGTGAAGTTATGCTGTATTGATACCAAGCAGTTTAAGAGCCCTGCAAGGCCAGGTTCCAATCATTAAATTCTAATGCTGTGGTTAGTGTCAAAGACCTGTAAATGTTAGGTTAGCCAGGGGAGTAAGATACACCTAGTACATGTATTACAGTGCACAGATCCATTTGAAAGCTTAGTCATGTCAGCCAAGTTTTAGGCTATAGCAAGAAATCTTGAGAGGTTACTCTAAGAGAGTTATTCTCAAAAGATGAGGGGACATCTGTCATGCTAAGCTGAGAAAGCTGAGTGTGATGAGAAACTGCTGCATACAGATTTTATTTTGTAATGATGCTGGCTTGCACTGAATGTGTACCTTGCTGGTTTCTACCATCTAAGAGTATCATATGCTTTGTAATAATTCCAGAAGTTTTCATAAAACAGATTGGAGAGCTTAATGAAGCACCAGATATTGGGTTAATGTTTTCATTGGATAGGAATCCCAGATGTGTCATTGTGTTGCATGCTCTGGAGGAGTCTTACCCCAGGGAAAACTGGATGATCCCAACCTGCTCTGCCACCTAGGCCAGGATGCTCTTGAGCCCTGAGCTAGATGCAAATAGCTGGTGTGAAGCCACTTCCCATCCCAGGGTGACTCAGGGCCAGGGAAGCACTGGTATCCTGCTCCAGGAAAGGTCACTTGCCTGCCCTGCCCTGCAGGAAGAGAGAACAGGGGCTGGATGGAGCTGGGACAGCAACATGAATGTTGGGGCATGCAGAAAATAAACCAAACTTGTAAGAATGTCTGCAAGAGCTAGGGCCAAATGGGTTGAAGCACAGGCAGCAGTGAGCTCTGAACATGCTGTCTCACCCTAAGTGCAGCTGTCTCCTTGAGCTGACCTGTTCAGACTAAGCTAGAGCAGAGGAGCACATCTCCATGGCAAAAGCTTGGAAACTCCACTCTGGCCATTGCTGGGCTCCCACTTCTCCCTTGGGAGCTTTATGCTTGCATCGGGCACACTTCCACCATGCACTCCCGGAGGAAAATGGACCTATTCTTCCCGGTTGAGTCCATCTTCTCACAGAGAGGCTTGTATCTGAGTGCAGGACACCACGACAGAGCAGGGAATGGCTTGAATATGGCTAGAGTACATTCCTTGGCTAGTGCAGGCTCTGCTATTTTCTCATCCTGCTCTTGCCACCTCTAAGGATTTAATTCTGTTTGTAGGAAGGTTCATTCAGAATTTTCAAATATTTTTGGAGCTTGCCACACCACTTTTTTTATGAGTTACTAATAATAACAGTTGGCAAGAACACCTTGTTTTGAAAATGGGTGCAGCCACAGGTTAATTAACGAAGTGCAAGTGATACATATTGTCAGCAGCTGTCTGATAGCAGCACAAGGTATACACACTTGGCTCATGAAAGTTATCACCTTTATGGGACCTGTGTGACCAACATCATGTCCCTGTGGGCCAGAACTGTTTGAAACACAACCTTATCTTTGTCACGGGAAACCACAAATTGAAGATCATCAGGCTATTGCCTTAATAGGCTATTGGAAATTGTAAAACCAAGAAAAAAATCATACCCACAGAATCATAGAATCATAAGAATCATATCCACGGAATCATATCAGGACATGTCTCCTCAGGTACAAGTATCTGGCAGAGAAGGAGAAAACTTCCTCACCTGGCAGCTGCTTAGAATTGAATTAGCAAACATAGAGCAAAAAAGCTAGAACTCCCCTATATTCTATTTTTTTTAATTAGGAATTTTCCTTTTTGTCCAGTGTCTTCCAGAAGCACATTGTGAACCTTTTCTTTGGTCTAGCCTGTGAAAAAAAAGTATTTAGGATCAAGGCAAAAGTTTTTTAAATGGCAGCAATACTTCTTGACAAGGCTGTGGTAGGAACTATACAGACTATATATAATAATATTATAGTGCTTTTCTATTATTTTCTATTATATATTGCATTATATCTAATATTACATTATAGTATATTGTTAGTATATTTGGAGGAAAATTTTGGAGAAGGGAATGCAAGTTTTGAAGAACGCTGCTCCATCTGCAGGTTGCAGCTGAGATGACAGTCAGGATCAGTTTGGAAAGCAGATGACAGGCAGAGCAAGAATCTGCTGTTGAGCCCAGCCCTGGAGATTAGTGCAGTAAAAGCAAAGCTCAAAATAGTCTTCTGTGGTTTCTCCTTCTGAAAATGAAGACTGTTGAAGATGTGCTGGTTTCTGCAAACCAGAATTTCAAGGAATTTCAAGGCCTTCTCTCCCCTTCATTTTCCTGGAAGGCACCCTGGAGCCCTGCCAGCTCTCTTTGCCCTGTTTGAGAATCCTCTGAGTGACAATCCTTCTTACAGAGACCCTGCCACTCTGTCCTGGGTCATCTGCCCCTTTCCCATTGACTCCGAGAGCCTGCAGGAAAACAGGCATTTTGCATGCCAGTAAATAAGCGGGTAAAATCCCTGCAAAACCACAAATCTCCATATCTATGTTGGGGTTGCTGATGGTGGCTCTTGGTGGTGGCTCTGAGAGCCTTTGATTGCTACCTTTTCCTTTCCCTTCTTAGTGACATATCTGCATGGAACTAGATCCTTGGTTCATCAGAGATCCACAGCGTAACCAAACGAACCTGGGAATTTAGGTAAATGCACTTTATATTTGCCCAGTGCTAAGACATGGGCCAGTGTGTAGGAATAAAGTGTGTAAGTGCATGTGTTTATATGCATGTGTGTTTGTGTGTGCACATGTACAGGGTGTTCTTGTGTGTGACCTTAGCAGTGCTCGAAACTTTCATCACAAAGAAAGCATTTTGATTCATTTTTTTTTAATCACAGCTCTGCTTTGCAAAAATATGCAATGACACCTTCCTTCTCGAAAGTGCAGGACTCCTGCCACCTGCATGTGACTTGTGCATTTCCATTTCTCTTCACCCAGGCATGACAAGGGCTTTAAATATGCAGGGTTGATTGGCTGCAGCAGCTCTGGTGCTTAGCGAGGTCTCTCTGGTTCTCCTCTCCTCCATGCTGCAGATGTACATTTGCTTTCTGCAACCATCATCAACTGACAGCACTGGGAGAAGTGAGAAATTCCCACTGTTCATGAACGCTGGAAGAGAATAGTGGTGGCTTGGGACACCGAGGCTCTATCTCTACTCCAGCTCTAATAGCAAGAGCTGAGCACGGTTTTTATTAAGCCCCTGGATGTGCTAATCACCTGCTGGGATGAAGTATTTCCTCCAGTATGTTGCTTGTTTTTTTGCCTTTTTCTCTACTGGGTTTTTGATAGCGTCTACTTGGACAGACTGCTGGATGGTGAATGCTGATGACTCCCTGGAGGTAAGACCCGGGTGAGCACAACCTGCTTTCCAAAGCAAATGTGGCTCAGGGAGAGTTTTGATATAGCTATGGGGTTCTTGGTATCATTGCTCTGTCCTCAGGAATTTTTCAGGAAAGAAACTTTCCTCAGGAATTTTAGAGGAAGTTAGAGGGACTGGTCTTAGAGCATGGACTCAAAGATATCTGCTTAGAGCATGGACTCAAAGATATCTGCTTAAACTCGTGCAGACATTAGCAGAAAGGCATTGCAAAAGAGCAGAAGGATGCGTACATGCAGTCTGTGTCCCACAGACTCCAGTCCCCACACAGTCATCTTCTCACCACCACTCAGGAGTGCAAGTCTGTATTTTTCTTCCCAGAGTAACCATCCCTTTCTTCATGCTTAAGGGCTGTAGGGTGAAAGCACGGCAATCTGCTCCACAGAAAACTTGATGATTTATGCAATGAAGGTGAAACACCTTTATATCAGGAGGAAACTTTCTGCTATCCAGTGCTATCCAGTGTAGGAAAACAAAAGCTCCTTTGGATTCGGTGATTGCAATTCAACGTTTAGCAGTTTGAATGAAGCAAGGGGAAAGGGCCACACAAAACAGGCTCAAAACTGCTGGCTGGAGGCGAATTGCCAGGACTTGCTGCCTGTGTGACAAATTGATGAATTATCTGAGAAAGAAAAGGGTAAAACACATTTTTCTTTACATGGCAAGAAACTCTGGCTGAGGTGACCACAGATCCTACGCAATGGAATTGCTGGTGGTCAGAAAGTCCTATCATGAAGCTTCTTTGCAGGGTAAGCAGAGTGCATCTGCTGGTGCTGGCTAGGACATATTATATATTGCTAGTTAGGAGACATTCTGGATTCATTCCAGGAGGTTGTGAGCTACATGCAGCACAGGCAAATGGATCCCAAACTGCCATCATTTTCAGTAAAAAGGGGCAAAAGAAGTCCAGCACTTGCATCCAGGGAAGAACCAAGCCCATTAACCACAGGCTCTGTCACCTTGTCTTTTTGGCACAGAGGCACCTGTGCTGGGCTGTCCCTAAGTGCTCCATTAACACCAAGTTTGGCCATTAGCAACCACCTTCTCACATTCCTGCTCTGAGTGTGAATACTAAATAATGGAGCAAAATGCCCTCAGCCTTAATAAGTGACAGAGCAAGCTCTCTAATGGCTCTAATGACTCACTGCCTCTCTAGGTAGGAGAATGCAGGTAAATCATCAATGGCCACACAGGCCTGGAATCCACTATGAATCCTGTTTTTAACTAGAAAAAGTAGTAATCCAGGCCATTTTTGACTTCAAGAGAAAGGACCAGCATCTTCCAGTGTAGATAGCACCACCTGGCCTTTCTCTGATGGTTGGGCCATCCCAACCATCAGAGAGGGGGAGTGACCTCCAGCAGAAGCAAGCCAGAGACCTGACCTTGCATCTGGGCAACCTCAAACGCCGGTTGCCACAGCTCAGATGAATGCTGTAGCTTGTCCAGCTCACTCCCTGTCTATGTACCCACAGTGCTGACCAGAGCTTCCTTCGGTGAAGGCATCAAGACAAGCCTGAGTCAATTTTTGCTGTGTTTTTTGACACAAAAAGTCATAAAAACTTCTTCACACCAGGCACTGTTGTGTACACTTAGTCCCTCCCTGTTATAGCTGGATTAAAAATATTACTACTGCTGTTAAACACAGTCTATTTTACTCTAATGTTAGAGTATTTAGAGTTAGTTATAATCACTGTATGCAAGGACCTTCTCCCAATGTGTTAAAATGCCATGACTAACATCACTCACACGTTTGTCTTCAGTGCTTTCCCCAGGAGAGGAAGATGGTACTTGTTCTCTCTTTTTTATTTTTTTTATTGGATGTGTTTTAATATTAATTATACATTATGAATAGGCTATGATTATATATATTATAGTCATTATGCAGTTTATGTTTTACATGCATACCTGTGTTAGGGAAAGCAGGTCACAGGAATGTGTTTCAGAATCAGACTCGGGGACAAGACATTGTGACCATGATCCTGTAGAAGCCCAAGCTCATCAGCCAATGCTTCCTAATTACTTGCTCCCTGCTCAGGGTACTTGGGATGGAGCATGAGGATGCTTTGGGAAGAGCCGAACAAGACAGAAGGATGAACAGTAGCTGAAAGCAGAGGGGAGATGGTTAGGGTTGAGGAGGTGAAAAGGCAGGTAACAGAAAATCAGTGTAGCCCAATATGGGCTCTGGCTGGTCCAAGTTCCCTCTCTGAGGCCTTTTCCCATCTCTCCTGCCCTGGGAAATGGGATGCCAGCTGTGTATGTGCTGCGCTGAGATGGGTCCTGAGCACAGCCCAGACAGGAGAGGTCCTAGAGGTCCCGATCCTAGTCTTGGATCAGGTTCTAGAGACTGAAGAGTAGTAGTCTTTGTGAAGGTATTTTGTTTTTTCTTTTTTCTTTCTTTTTTTTTTTTTTTGTATAAGTTCAGTATTAGCACTAGCGGACAACAGTTAAAACTGAAGAAACAGTTAAAACCCAAAAAAAAAGAACATATAGCAAGGTTTCCTAGCCTGGACAGCAGATTGTTTTATAGATTAGGACACCATTTAAAATTTTGCACCTGAAGACCTCTCTTCTGCTTGGAAGCTAATGAAATCTGGAGTTCTGCTAGTCCTTTCATTAATAGTTGAGGTGAAGATGCTGTGTGTGAGATTTTATAAACAATACCGATGTCAGCAAGTGAGGAAGGATCTGAGAGCACTGGCTGAATGCACAGTAGTATGAATAAGCCTAAGGTGATAGGGAAAGAATACAAAATGGTATAAACACAAGTGGAACAAAATGCAATTTAATGAAAATATGTTAATTTCAAGCACAGCCTGAATAGTAGTAAATTAAGACAGAGGAGAAACTCCAGCTGAATTAAGAGGGACACAGTAAAAGCTTATGCCTAATATAAATAGGTCAAACTGTTTTGCATGAAATTGTTCTCTTGAAAAATACAGAATCAATTAAACCAGATTTTTTCCTCTCAATGCTTTTCATTTTCATGATAATTTCCACTAAATCTGCCAAAAAAAACCAAAAAAAAATTACGAGCAATTAGTTTTAATGTTCACAAAACAAACTGTGCAGACTGTTTTCACTCAAACACAAATAATATCTTTTCTGAAAGTCTGAAATAGTGAATCATTTTCTTCTCTCCTTTAATCCATTTGTAGTACTATAGAAAACCTGTCCAGATCGGCTAAAGTTTGTGACTGGCTAAAGAGTGCAGTGCATCCTGCACTGGGCTTTATCACTGTCTATTTGGTGATGTGCAAAGAATAAGAAAAAGGAATTTCCTGCATCGTCGAAACAAGTGCAGTTGCCCTTTCCTGTGCAAGTGTCTCTGTTGATAAACTGCAGTGGGGTGTCTGTTGGGGCAGAAGGGCAGGCTCGAGGACGGAGCTGTGCCGACATTATCTCTGCTCCTCGTATGAGCAATCCCAGGAATGTTTTAGAGGTGCTTGTTGCCATATTTGCATTGCTAATGAAAATACCTTCCATATTAAGCTGAGTTAGGCTGGGCCGGGAGTGCTGTCTAAATCTTCCGCAGCACTGAGACGATTAGAGAGGCTGCTGCTGCTCCATTTGCCAGAGTCGGGATGTCTGAGCGATGAGTGTGGTCACTCGTGGCACCCGTGGCCCCACATGGCCAGGGTCAGAGCTGCCTACCTCTCATTTTCTGGCCTATATTTACAGTGGAGTCCTTTTGGACTCCAGCCCCAGGAGAGGGGCTCCCATTCACACCTCTGTTTTATCATCTCACAACCCGTTCAGCACACCCAGCTTCCAGCAAAACATGGGCCTCTGTGACTCACGCTTCCCGGCCTCCTTCCTTCTTGGTCATACCAGCATGAAGAGGGTGGAAAGGAGGCATCGGCAGCAAATTCACGGGTCATCTCGTCCATAGCCCTGCCCAGCTTGGCCTAGACAATCATCTGGCAGGAGACATCAAACCCATTAGATATCTCTGATTGCACTCACCCCACAGCCTCTGGTGGCTGCTTCCTTCAGCAGTTTTTCCTTACCAATAGAATTATTTTCCCCTAATATCCAATTCAAATGTCTTTTGCTTTAGCAAGCACAGAGAAAGCACTGTCCTTTCAGTCTATCCTGCTATTTTTTTCCTCTTTCAAGTGAAAAACTCCAGTTTGCCATAGCTGGACTGGGATTTCTGCAGCTGGTTGGTTGTTGCATTCATAACTTTTTTCATACTTTTTTTTTTTTTTTTTTTTTACTATATCATACAAAAGATTAATACTTTATAATGCAAGTGTCTGGGTTTTGTATGAAAACATTTTTTACAGTTTTATTTTAACTGTTTTTTTTTTTTTTTTTTTTTTCCAATCTTCTTTACCCACAGGTGAGTACAAAATGCCGTGGCCTGTGGTGGGAATGTGTCACAAATGTTTTTGATGGGATCCAAACCTGCGATGAGTATGACTCCATCTACGCCGAGCACCCTGGTATGTAAGAATGATTTTTCCACAAGGAGATGGGACATCCTGGTTCTGATGGTGTGAGCATCTCCTTCTCACTGTGCTGGGACTGAAGGTGCCCGCGTGGTGCTGAGAAGTTTCCTTCATGGTTATGTCAAAGTCAGTGGCTCCTCAGCACGCTTTGGCTATAATCCATGCTTTGGCTATGAATATAAATAGTATCTGCTAATGCCCAAGTGTTTAATTTAAAGCCTGGTCCTTGCTGACAGTCATCTTTAACCAATACAGCCCCCAGAAGGTGCCATGCTGCCTGTTGCTTGACAGAGTGCCAAAGACTCTTCGCAAGTAAAAGTGTAGATGAAAACAGGCTTGAAGCATATCATTGAATCAGTAGCATGACAGACAGTCATTTATTCTTCTCAGCAAAAGATAATTTGGTGTATCTACAAAGGTCACCCATTTTTCTTTTCTCACTAATGAATTTCATTCGGGGAAAGCTGAAGAAAGTTTCATTGAGAAAGATACTTTCATATAGGATTTGACCCAATTACCCCACTGGCATTTCCATTCCTTGTGCCCTAGAACAATCTGCTTTTGTCCTACAGTGAAGCTGGTGCTGACCCGAGCCATGATGATCACAGCAGATATCCTGGCAGGATTTGGATTTCTCTTCCTCCTTCTGGGACTAGACTGTGTTAAATTCCTTCCAGATGAGCCACTCATCAAGTTGCGCATCTGCGTGGTGTCTGGAGTTACCTTGCTCATTGCAGGTATTCCTCCACTGTGGATCCATCCTGAAAAATACCCTTTAGGAAAATGAGGAGCTATTAAGCCTTCTCTTACTCTGAGGAGTGCAGTGAGTGATCTTCTGGAGGGTAAATATGGGAGAACAAAGTTTATTTGCTTCTGCTGTGTGCAATATACAACTTACCGCTTTTCATTTCCTGCCTCTAACAGCAGCTAGTTGGAAGTCTCTGCTTTTATTTCATTTAGCAACCAGGTGAGCTAGCTGCTGTGTTGTTTGACTTCACTTACTGATGTTCTACTGCAAGGAAGTCAGTGTAGACATGGCAAGAGACAACTTCTGAAGATTTAGAAACATATTGACATTCTGGTTCTCTTCCTAACTTTGCCACAGATTTGTGACCTTGGGCATGTCCCTTGGCCCCAAATTTCTGCAGCTGATCTGTAATAAAGGGATAATACACATCTCTTCTTCGCAGGTGCTAAAAACTCGCTGGACTGTAGTGTTTTCCTGTTACAGCCACTTGGAAAATTTTAATATGCAAATAAACATACTGCCAACTAGGGTCCTAAGACATTTTATTTGACTTTATGCCAAAATTAAACAGCTATCACTGCTATCTAATATGTAATGCATCCTAAGCACAGATAGAACATTTAAAGCCACAGAGACATTCTTTTAAATATCCTCTTGTCTGAAAAAATATTGTCAACATTTTGAAAGTTAAAATGAATAATTAGAAATTTAAAATCTTGACGCAACGTTACAAGTTGATAAATACACTACGAAGAGAGAATTTCTCTTGCTTTTAAAGCAGGAATTTTAAAAAATTGATAACAGTTGCTGATATCTGTGGTAGTTCAAACCCAGAAGGTATGAACCCTGCCCTGAAAACACTTCAAATGATATCAGTAGGAGACAAGATGACTTAAGCAAAGTGATCCAATTGAGACAGAGCTGGGCCCAAATACTGTTGTCCTGGAACGTTCCTCCCAGCCTAAAGTCTCAAGCAGGAGATAGCAGAGTAGAACTCGAGGATTTTGTACTTGTGATCACCGTGGGGTACATGAGAGCGCTGTGTGGCCCCTCTCCCCTGTCCTGCAGGTGTCCCAGGCATTACGGGCTCGCTGTGGTACGCCATTGACGTCTACGTGGAGCGCTCCTCGCTGGTCTTCCACAACGTGTTCCTGGGAATCCAGTACAAGTTTGGCTGGTCGTGCTGGCTCGGCATGGCGGGGTCCCTCGGGTGTTTCTTGTCTGGGGCTGTGCTCACCTGCTGCATGTATCTCTTCAGAGGTGAGGAGCTGTTGCAGGGCTGGGACATGTTTAAGGGAGACAGGGATGTCTTGGGGTCTGCTGCAGGGGCACGGAGTCGGGAGCACCCCTATGGGACTGTCTCTAGGACATGGGGAAGGAGGGGATGGGGGTTTGGTCTCCGTGCCCTCTACAACTTTGACTTCTCTGCTGAAGTTCTGTAAGGAGCAATGGGGCACTGATCTGCACCAGCTTCTGGAGAGGCATCAGCTTCTGGAGAGAGAACTGATGGGCTGGCAGACATCTCCTGCCTTGTGTCTCTGACTTTGTCACTGGAGGGAGCCCAGTGTGCAGGAAACAGGTTTGATGAGACAGTACGTAAGGTTCCTCATCTTGGATCAGGAACACCAAAGGCCAATCAACCCAAATTCTTGACCTGATATAAAAGCTTATTTCGACAGACTTTATGTTGGATCAAACATCATTTGTGCTCCTGTATGCATCTTGAATGCATGCAGTATAAATATTGTATCACAGGCCCAAGGAAATCTAAAAGGGCTGGTGCAAGCATGAAATGGTTCTCACAAACATTGCTGGACCTTCAGTGCTGCACAGATACCCTTAAATGATTGCTCAGCCTCAGTCGCAGTATGTTCAGCTGTAAAATGGCATTTGTCTTAGCGGCACGGTAAGGCACATCAAGGTCTTGAGGAGGGAGCTGACATGTGAGTACGACATAAAATGTGTTATTACACCGTATCTTGGTGATGTTTAGAATGCTTCTTTCTCTGTATTTCAAAGCTTTACGACAAAGTGTCACCAAACAATTGTTAGCAGGTATTATTTCTCTCCTTATGCATCACAGATACCAACTCCGGGAGACTTCATTCTGCTCAGTCCTTCAGGAAAGGCTATTCCCCAGCTGGGACGATCTTAACAAACGTGCATTTGCCATCTTCACAAACAGCTACTGCCAAAATGTATGCAGTGGACACAAGAGTATGAGGAGCAAGCAAAATACCAGAAAACAAGCTCTACTTTTACTTGTTATGGATTGTACAGAGACCCGAGATGCTTTTGATATGGATGCTAAGTTACATTTCAGGGTTTTGCTTTATGGTACAATGTTTGCATTGGGAGAGCTACAAATAAAAATCTCCTTCCAGAAAGTAATCTCCAAGAAGGACCATGCTTTAGAGATCATGTTGTTTCAGCATGATCATGTTTCAGCATTTGGCTCTGTGAGTGAGATAAATCAGACCCCAGCGTTCAGCATAAAGATCCCCATATTCCAAGATGGATCTGTTCTGTGTCTGGCAATGAGTCAAAAGAACGTACAAACCAGATAATGCAGCCTTCTGCTAAGAGGAGGGCCGATCATCTGGCAAACATCTGGAATCTGTGCAGCCAGCAAGTGGGAAGAGTTCTCCTCCAAAAGTAGCTTGAGAGTCCAGCAGAAAATGAAGAGCTGTGTTAAATGACGTGTTGTATCTTTGGCCTATGATCACCTACACTAAGATATTCTAAATTCAGGTACATCCTTCTCTGCAAAATATGTTTTTTTTTTTTTTTTTTTTTCCCCCCAGTAATCGTTCAAATATATGTTAGGGATTCACTAGCCTTGCTGAGATCTGAATTGTCAGCTTCTTTCTTGCTTACTAAATGTTTTGCCTGGACAAAAATGAACCGAGGGAAGATATGAGATCTCTCCCTATGCATGACATGCATCAGCTACAAACTAGGATTAACAGTCAAAAATTTCTACCTCTTTTTATCAAAAGATTTATAAAATAAGGGTTATGTTTGCCTACTGCAATCCCAGCTGCCACAGGCTGGGGGAGGATAGACTTCCAGCCATGTCTTCATTGAGAGACTGAAAAAAAAGAAGCGATATAACACATTCCTCGAGGATGGCTGCAGGAATGCTGGCAGCTCTTCACTGTTTCTGGAGAAAAGAGAAACTGAATCACAATTTACTTGGGGCTGATAGGAACCGCCATAAGTTGGAGGAGAAGAAATACACTGCAGAAGCAGAGTTGTGAGGAGCTCCTGCCTCCAGGAGGGAGCTCCCGTTTTCCTGCTCTTCTCCTGGGAGGCAGATGCTCTTCCGAGCCTCTCTAAGGGATGAAAGATGCTGTGACTCCATAGGCTACACTAGCCTGATTCATCCAGTGCTGAGATGCTTCTCAATGGGAGGTGCTGAGCAAAGACAGCATCACTTGGGCCAAAGTCCTGAATCAAATTCTTCCCAGACAGTGTGCTTATCTCCACCACTAATACTCAGGGATGCATGTCAGACTCTTGCTGGTTTCTATAGCTCTTTCTGAGTCATGAACAGATCACCTTTTGCTGGGAAGATCTGTATCATTTTTTAGTCCAAGTCAAATAATCTGGGATTACCTACTCATGCAGGTGCAATTGCAGATCACAGACCATTCATTACTCTTGTTCTTTTCCACTGGGGTATGGTGTAGTTTGGGAAACTTCTGGGCCTTTATCCTAATGCTCTTCAGCTTCTTTCAGGGTGATAGGAAGTGTTTTGGGACTCGTGATGCAGGGATAACACCAAGCAGAGGTTCTGTAGACACTTATGGGCTATACACCTATGACATAGCTAGGGGTGAATGTAAGTCCTGCAGTCCTTCTGGAGAAGCACAGGTAAGAAATATGCATACCCCAGATGCTATCTTAACCTCCTATGGGTGCACTCTCCTCAAATATATATGTATATAAAAAAATGCATGAAAGTTTGTGAACCCTGTTTTTTTCCCGCAGAATATAGGTAGAATAAGGGTTAACTCTTTAACCTTGTCCCAAATCTCTTCCCACTGCATGATAACTTTGAAGGATCTATTGGCTGAACAAGAATATTAGGAAAAGGTCATGGCCACCCATAGGTTTGCAGGGTTAATGTTTTGTAACAACCAGTCCAATGCTGCATTGCTTCATTATTCAGATCTTGCTGGGAGTCTATCTGATGTTTTGATCAGTTGTTAATATATAATTGCTAATTCACTGATTGATTAATTGTTACTTTGATTTCGTAACTGCAGTGTCCAGTTCTCATTAGCTTGTGATGTTAATCTGTTTTATTTTGGTTGTTTATTTTATAGCAATAAAAACCCCAGAAAGTACGTACGACTTGTTTTTTCTTTCAAAATCACAACCAGTCCAAAAAGCTAAAGATGTTGTGGGTGAGCTCAGGTATTAAGGCATTTTCTTTGGTTCTCCCAAATTTCTATCTCCACCCCATTCAGCAGCAGCTTGCTGTAGGGGAGTGGGGTCACCATATTACAAAAGACTCGCTCTGTCTTCCCAATTGCTATTGATGTCTTAGCAAGGCTTTTTGCTCAGATGCAATTTCCAGCTGAGGCTCAATCCTTCAGTTCCAACAAGAAAGCTTTTAGCATTCTCCACTAACTTCTAAAAAGTATTATTTTGCGTGCTTGGGCATCTAGTCTGGTTTAGTCCCTTTGCTTCTTTTCCCATGGCCTGGGCAGTATGAGGGACCTAGCTGAGACCTGGCACCGTGACATTTCCTGCTCCATCTGCCTTGTGATGTGCCCTGGAACTCAGGGCTCCTCCTCACACTCTCCACTCGGTGCAGCTTGCCAGGGCTCCAGCTAGTTGCAGGTTATGTAAGAGCGAAATGTCTCATAGATAAGATGTTACGTAAGTTTATTTAATAACCTATAAAGAGATATCAATTGCCCATTTTGATATAGGTAAGCAATGGTTATATAATAAAATAATGACATCCACAGTTGTCATTTTCTGCAAGTAATATTTTGTCTTCTCACTATCTCAATCAGCCCTGTTTATAGAGATCTCTTGTTGTGACCTTTTCAGCTAGATTATCTCCAGGTGCAGGCACATGGGGATATTTTCTAAAATATGGATGTCCTCTCTTTCATGCATATTGTCATGTGATTTTTGATCAAATTCACAAGATTTAAGTAATTATTTTCATATTTTCAGATAAAAATGTAACTCCAGGAACCAATTTTTTTTCTTATATGGTTGTAATATTTGAAGTGTCCCTAAACCCCACTTCCAATCTTCACTTAAGAGAGGTGATTTGCCAGCTGATCTGCTCTGATTCCTGGGAGGGAAATCACTTCTCTCATGGAAGGAACCATTGAAAAAAACAGCAGCATGAACAGGACCAGACGTTGCAAAAGTGGCGTTTGGTCTTGGAAGCTGCCTGGATATGGTGGTATTAGCTGCAAGCAGCAGGCCCCATTGCATGCCTGTAGAAGCAGCTCTTAACAGGTGACAGACTTAGTCACCAGTTTTGGCACATCTACTTCTAATCATTTTATAAATGTTCAAAGAGAGCTAAATGAAACAAAATCTCCCCACTAAAAAGAGGTTCGGAAAAGCGCTGCTCTCAGCTATGGCCTGACCCTCACAGTTTGGTCTTTGTGGCTTTTAAATTCTGTGGGCAAGCATTTAATCACAGCAGCAGCAGCTCCCAGCACTTCGAGGGTTTTTCTTTCGAGGCTATGCAATCATGAGCAATACCCATCTCCCAGAGCAGTTAAACCTAATTGCCCCAGTCCCTAGAGAGGGGAGCTGAGGCAGCCAGGTTAAATGAACAGCCTGAGACCACCAAAGAAAGCCACGTGAGATGATCAAACAGGTGACTTCTCAGATCACAAGCTTACACTCATGTTGGAAAGAAACATTTCCCTTCCTCTCTGTGCACTGGCTGCAATCTCAGATGTCAGGGAAGATTTGGGACTGGCAACATTCAAAGTTTTAAAACATCCATATCCAACAGCCTCATCTTCTGCCTCAGGAAGAAGCGTGTGGTGCTGAGAAGAGCCACGTGCCGGGGCTGTTGAGCGAGTGAGAATTGAAATTTATGTGTAAGGAAGACAAAGATACCATTTCTTAAGAGATTTGCAACAAGATGCTTGAGCTAGACTTTCCTGGAGCCTTGTTCTTTCCAATGGTATCCTGATAAAGGATGCTGAGGACAATTTCCTTGTCTGTCCCTATATTGCAAAATGCCTCTTAGAGAGAAAGAAAAGAGCCAGAATTGTGCCATCTAGTGACCCAAAGAGGACGAGCATCTGTCCCTGATCCCATCTCCCAGTGAAAAAGACTTCAGACCAAAATCTGTGAAGGCTATGACCTTCAGATGATTAAAAAAAGAACAATTAAATAATATTTTGTGACTTCTTGTGTTCAACCCTTCTGGCAGCCCAAATTGATCCCCTGTCATGACACATCTGCCTTTGATTTTACTCTGTGTTGCCTGAGAGCCAGTTTATGACTTTATTATTCAGCTCCTGATGTGTGGAGGTGAAAGTCCAGCCATGCCACCTCTCCGCATTCCCTTTGTCTTTGACTTCCAGATGGTCACCAAGTAATTAGCAACTCTGCGCTGCTTCCATATTCTCCTATTGAGCCTTACTGGGGACAAGTTCCCTCGTTAATATATCTGCCTTCCGGTGTTTTCTGGGAGTTTTCTGGAGCAGTTTGCCACGTCCTCTCAAAGTTAACGGCACTGCAAATTACAGGAATAGTGGAAGTCAGAGGGCACCAGTGGAAAAACTGCAATTTCTCTGTGCTTCCGAAATAGACTCATTTATGAGGCACTGAATTACAAAGAAGCGGCTTATCTTTTCTTTTATCTCCAGAAATGTCAGCCAAACTGCGTTAGCTGCCTTCATTAAGGCTAAGTGCTTACAAAAGCACAAATTGCTGCTTTTCTAAGAATGGGAGAATCCTTGCCTGTTCTGCTAGAGCACCTGAGGGTAAAGGAGCAGGCCTGGGAAGAGCTGTGCTCCTGGGGCAGTGCTAGGTTTGTCTGGGGCCACCCAAAACATGACTGCAAATGCCTCTTACTGCACGGCAGTAGCAAGGGAGCACAATCCGCTGCCTCTGAATATTTCTGCAAGAGCAATGGGCTCCTCGATGCATGCTGAAAATCTCGCTTGCCCTCTGTTGGGTGTCAGAGAAGAATTTACAGCTTGGATAATGGATGTTGCTTACTGGACCTTGGGAAAGAGGGTCTCAGGCAGATGAAGGCCTTGAAAGCTGAGCAGACCTTTCTTGTTAGCCTCTCCTGTCAACTGATTAGAAGGTGACATTCAATGAAAATAAAGGCGGCAAAGTGTTTAGAAGCAAGCAATTAATAAGCAGGAGGCAATAATGTTTTATGCAGCATATAATGTGAACAACCTGTAGAGTTCACTTCCAAGAAAGGGTCACTGAAGCAAATGCAGCGTGTAGGTTTGAAGGAAGCGGCTGCTGATTTAATGCCTGCTAGCTAGCTCTGCAAGCCGAAGCCACAAACATAATCAAATCTCATGCTTCAGGGCATAAATTGAAGGGGTTGAGCAGTGGAAGCAGTTATGTATATACAAGGTCTGATCCTGAGAGGTGCTGATTACCTGCAATTCCTACTAAGTTCATGGAGTGAAAGGGCACTCGGGGATCACGCAGCTTTTCCACTGGCTGAATCTGTACTTGCTAATTTTCCTTATTAGCAAACCCTGTAATATTTCAGCCTGCTGGCACAAACATTCATTTTGCTACAATAACATTTATTTCCTTTCACACAAGAGTCCAAAATTAAGGCTGATTCTAAAAGGAAGCTTTGTGGAGATAATTCGCTGTTGCTTGGACAAAAAATTTGTCTCTCAAGATATGCTATTATTCTTTACCTAGCTAAGGTACTGATAAAGCCTTATTATGAGAACATGTGAACATCTCACAATCTTTAATGCATTTATCTTCTCAGGTCCCTTTCTGAGCAAGCAGATTGGTATTAGTCCCCCTCTACAGGTCCCCACCTGTAGTACAAAGTAGAAAGTGGGCTGTAGGCTACAACCAGTCTTTTATAGTCCTAAATGAATGATATACTTTTTAGAGTAATTTACAGAACTAAACACCAAATCCCCGACTCCGCAATTTACAGCTGTGGAAAACTGCCATGTGGGTCCAGAGATGTACCAAGTATTTTGTTCTGTTCTGCAATTCCAGGGCAGGAGTACAAAACTGGAGACAGTCACCATGCAATTAAGAACAGCTCAAATAAGCAAAACCACATCTTTTGTGCTCTGTAGCTAGTTGCTGATGCTGCTATTACCTCTCATCTTCCCATAAGCCCCCTTCCCTTGCTTTCCTTATTTTGGCTGTTAGTTTTCTGTATTTTCCACTAGATACATCTGAGGTGTTGTGCTAAACATCTTAAATGAGGCAAACAATCCTTCATCACAAAATGGCATGATTGCACTACAACGTGGAAGAACAATGCGGCTTTGCCAAAGGGAATTTGTTGGCACTGTGCCGAGTAAAGGATGCAGCCCAAATCTGAGAAGTAACTGTCAAGTCATTTATCAGTGCTTGGTCCTAAAACACATGGGGTTGCACTGGCTCAAGAGATCTTAAAAATGTAAATCTGGGGGAAGAACCAGAAGCCCCGGGTAAAGACAGATCTTTGAGGAAGCTTCTTGAAATTCAGAGCCATATCAAGATGTCAACTTGAGTCCCTGTCACAGATTCACTACATTTAGCATTTATTCTGTTACATTTTGTGTTCAATTTTAATTTAAGATGGAGTATGGGCATTCTCTTGGCCCTCTTGAGGAAAGGGCTGATTTTGCTCTCACATTACTGTAGCATAATGGAAGATCTCTGACAAAGCAAGTGGAATTGTAGTCAGCCAGCATGCTGTGTCTAGAGTTTGTTTCCCTTCATAATATCCTCATAGGATGGAGGCAACTCAGCTTCCCCAAGGTGGAAAAACAGAGCACAAGACGACGACATCTCTCCATTCACACAAGAGCTTGGAGATCCAGAGAATGGACACTGAGGTGCTTCACTCACTGGGGAAAAAGCAAAGCAGTGAGTACACAGCAGGCAGGAATGAAGATGAAGCATGGGGATTCGAGGTGTGGGGCTGGGAGGAGCTGTCAGACCGCTTGGAAACAAGAAAGACATTTTTGAAGCATGGCATCACAAGGAATCTCATCAGGAACTGCAGACACCAGGACAAAGGAGTTTGGGTGGGTTTGGGGTGGTTCCTCCCCATGGAGATACTGCCCATGATGACCCACAAAACAGGCAAAACTTCCCACGGGATGGGCTTATCTAATGGCAGACAATGGGTTTTTTTCTTTGAGGGACTCTTGCCTGGTCTAGCCTGATGGGAGTCACTGCCAGTAATCCAAGTCGGTGTTGGGTGCTACACATAGTCATTAGAGCCCAGCCCTGAGAAAGCCTGACCTCTTCAAGAGAAATACTGCAAGGAACAGTATACACCAAGACTGCTGGGGTGGCTTAGGAGTACCTGCAAAGTCTGCCTGAGTGAGCAGTTCAGGTTATGTACAGAAAAGGGCCACCTGATTCCAGGCACTGCCTGCAGTCATATAATCATATGATCATTATGGTTGGAAAAGACCTTAAAGATCATCTCGTCCAACCACAAAGTTGAGGAGCATCAGGCTGCCTGGCACCAAGGAAAAGGCCTTACTCCCTGCCAATGCCACATGGCTGAGCCCTGGTTGGGTATCAACAGAACATGAGACACACACTGATAGCACTGAGGTCAGCTGAAGGTGTGGCAAGGGAAGAGAACAGCATCTGCCCATCTTTACCCTTTGAGTTCAAGGTCAGAGCATCCCTCCAAGACTCCCAAGTTGGGCCCTGCACTGCTGTACACAGTACCCACCTGCAGCCCAGCTCCCACCCAAGCCTGGATTCCTCCTATAGGGTTTTGGAGGGGGCTCTGAGGAGCCTGTTTGGGCTGGTGGGATCCCAGAGTAGGTAGAGAGAGGACTGACCGTGAAAGGCATCAGAGCTGCCCAGTGCAAACACGGCCAGGGTACGCTGGTGGGGAAGGCAGCTCCGCTGCTTCAGCCAACACTGGAGGCAGAAGAGGATCCCACAGGACAGGAGCAAGGCCAGGAAAAACAGCAGCAGGAACCTGAGGCAGAAGCAGCACAGGGAGGATGGGATACGATCACCATCTGCAAGCAGCACAGACAGATGGCTGCGTGTCTTGAAATTAACATATTCATTAATGTATTTTGCAAATAGCTGTTATATGTTGTGCTTTCCCCATCAGCATACTGGACATAATCAAAGACCATGGAAACCAATTTCTCAGTGCTGATTGCATAGTGCTTCATGCTGGCTGAAAACTCAAACATTTCTCCCGAAACCACTCATTGTTTTTGTCCTGCTCAGTTGTCAGCACACAATGAGGAGGATATGGATAAATGATTCCCATTAGTCAATAAAGACAGAACACAGGGACAGCCCAGGAGGAATGCTCTCTAGCTATCAGTCTCTCTTAATGCCCTTCTCTCCATATATTCATCAAATAATATTATTTGCCTGTTTTCCCTCTAAACCATTTTTGAAACTTACCACACATACCAGATGCTCAAGTTTTCATCACCCTGCCCGACACACCTAACAATGCAAACATAGAAAGGGACCTTCAGTTCAGCACAATGGGTCCAGGGAAACATCTATTGTCATGAAAAAAACCATCATCGGAAGTAGGCAATTGAGAAACTTCCCTCCACCAAAGGATCACTATGAGAAATTCATCTGTTTTTTTGGAGCGGGTGCAGATGGCGTGCAAAGCAGCATGCAGCTGGTTGCCCTTCACCACCAGTATGGCCTTGCTGGAAAAAAATCCAAGCATCCTTTTCTGGAAGCCCTCTTTCCCCTTCTGCGTTTGAAGGGCTGACAAGAGCAGGGAAGAGCCTGGCTGGGGCAGCCTCTGCCGTGCGCTGCCTGCCCTCTCCCTTGCAGAAGGACGACCCGCTGAGAAAGCAGAGCCAACACTCACCTCTCGCCAAGCTCACAGGCAGGTTCAGAGTCTGCTAACTGAAAACACACACGTAAATCAGAGAGGGCAAATCTCGTTTCTTACCAGTGTAATTACTGATCTTGTCTTGGAGCAGGAACTCGGAGGGGAAGAGTGGACTCCTGAGCTGTATAAATCTGATAGATGAAAACTAGTCCTCTCCCTAGAGGCGGTAGGGCTGAGCTTTTAACTCTGCATGTCTGCGGTCTGATGTAGCCCACATTGAAATCAGTGGATAATCTCACAGGCAGCTCAATAAATTCAATAGCATGCAGACGAAAGCGAGGCCAAGGGGGAAACACTGCTTTTTATGTGGAAGAGGGGAGCCCAAGAGCAGAAAGACAAAGGCGGTAACAGAGGCATGTTTACAAACCTGGAATTGGTTATTCAGAAATTAATGCTGAAAAATCTCCACAACTTATTCTTGTTTGGTAGCTTTTTCTCCTGCGGTTAATTGTGAACCTAGCTGTAAACTGGAGCTGTTTTGACTGGACATTCAGTCTACCCAGCATTTGCTGGTTTAGGATAGTAGTTGTGCATCACTCCGAGAGCTGAGTCTCATGTTTGCAATTGCAAGTACACATACCTGAGACTTGCTTTTCAGGTATATTTTCTACCTTCTGCTCAAGTAGACTTATTTATGCAAGCCTCTCAGCCTCTGTTTTCAGATTACCTGCATGAAAAGCTTCCACAGCGGCTCATCGGTAAAACTAATCAAATTCAGAACAAATGACTGTTAGATGTGTTTTAACATTCTTCCAACTTTGCTACAAAAAACTCAAATGAGGTACAGAATTGCAATAACATCATGAAAGAGTAAGCAAGACAGAAGAATTATTAGCATGTAATCACTTTACTTCAGATTTCCTTCTGCCTATATCCAAAACGCACCCAAATTCCTGTCTTTTGGGCAACCAAAAAATCTGCTGTATTTTAGAAATTTCTGTACAGACAAATATCATGTTACATCTCTAAGTAACGGGGTTTCTTTGTAAGGATTTTGTCATGCAAAGCCTGTACCACTTTAATAAGAAATTGCCCCACAAATTTCTATAATGTGCCTGGTACCTGCACACTACCTTCACTTTTGGGAGCAGGATCAGTCCCCAGATTCACCAGAGGTCTTTAGGCATAACAAACCTTCCAAATAAAACATTACCCATAAAATTTCATAAACAGGTGAATCTCAATTGATGAATAGGTAAAAACGCCATAGAACTTTTCCAGGCTTTTCCTTTTAAAGCTGAGCTAATTTGCCAGGCTACACAATATATGTATTTTTTTTTTCTCTTCAACTGATTATTATAGAGTAACAGGCCAAAACCTGAGAGCCGGTTGCTGTGATTACATGAGACCACAGTACTCTTCATGGCTGAATGACAACCTACGGATTCTCTTTTATCATTTTTTAAACAACCTCAGCAGAGCTTCCGCAGCTTAGTTATACTGCAGCAAGGTGTATCCGCTCTAAGGCAGCAATCTATTAAGGCATCCAAACACCCACCTTTGCTGCTGAAGATTCATAATCTTCCATTTCAATAGCCACAGGTAGAATAAAGGATTAATGTATTCAAGTTTTCTCTGCATTAATTGGAAATGTTATGAATATTGAATCTTGCCCAAATTTACCAGATCATCAAAAATCCTCCCCCAACCCCTGCAGTCCCTAAAATCAACCTGGTCCCAGTGAAAGATGTGAAAGATTTGGTTACCTGGCAGAATGTTAAACACAGAATTCCAGTGCCTGTGATCCATGAAGTGAAACACAAAGCTTGAGGACTCCACATCACTAACAAAAGAGCTGTATGTAGAGCTTTGTTTGCAGCAATGTTTTACTCTCTGTGATCTGGAGCTTTTAAAACTCTATGCATCGTGCCTTCAGCTACAGAATACATTATCCAACGGTTCCTTGTGCTTCAGAAATTACCGCTAGCCCAGGAATGAATTCTGGTTTGCAAGGACACACTCAAATAGCTGCTGGAAGTTAAATGAGCACTGGTTTGAGGTCAGCACCCTGAAGTTTTTTTTTTTTTTTTTCAGTTCTTTCTAGCTGTTCACAAACTCCAGTTGCTGCACCTCAGTTCCATATTAACCCACTGCTGTATTTAACAGGCCCTGCTATAAGTAAAGAACCAGTGCAGACTGCATCCTGAGGCCGTGCTTTCATTACATGTGGCCTTCAGCTGCAGCTCTGGCATTAAAAGTAGTGTTGCCTCCATCCATTTCCCAATGGGCTGCTATCTCAAACACTACACTCGGCAGGTAGAAACCCCTTTGCAGCTTGAGCAGCTTCCTGCAGCACTACAAAACGGGCTGATATGCAGCTGTCAAGGGTTGGCATCCCAAGAAAATGCATTAGGAAGACTAATAAAAAAGTTTTTTCATAAAAGACAAAAAAAGCTTGTCATGTAACACAAGCAGAAGCCACCTGGAAGCCAAAAACTCATGTGACTTGATAGATACAGCCAGATGCTGTAAGAAAAACACGTGGATAGACGGAAAATGGTTTGGACCACAGCTCTGATCACCTCAGAAAGGACAATCCAGGTTTGTTCTACAGCCAGTAATAGATTGTCACTAATGTTTACAGCCTGTGGCTCAAACGCTCTATTAACTTTGCTTCTTCCAGTTTTAACACAAGAGGTGTTGCTGTGAATATGTTTAGTCGTTGCTTCAGAAGTTAAACATTACGTCTTGAGGCCATTGCCTTAGTAATGATTGACAAAACTCACCTGATCTTGAGCTGTACCTCTGTGGTTTTCCTTCAACTAAAAGTTGGAGAAGTTTAGCCAGTAGTGAAACACATACTCGACTCGCATTTGTTATCTATTTAAGTTTCAGATAAACCCAGTCCAAACCCTGATGTCCTCACACATTTACTTTTAGCTCACTGCTGATTAAAGGCAAGCCTCTGAAATGAGGCACTCTGAGAAACGGCATCTCTTGTAACGCTGCAAAGCACACACACTGCACAACGTAAATGGTCTGAACATGCTAGTACCCTAGTCTGAGTGATTTCTGTTCAATTTTGTTCAGAAGTGAGGTGCCAAATCCATTTCTTAGCTTTTCTTTCCCCCCACCCCTTCTCTTTTTTTTTTTTTTTTTTTTTCTCCTTAAAAGAAAAAGATCCAGCAGCATAAAAAAGTGTGCACAGTCTTGCTGGGAACCTTGTGACTTTACAATTTCAAGCTTCAAAGAGATCATCCGTCAGTGAACTAATTTCAGATTTCTTCATCTCACAATTACTTCCCTTGGAGCTCACCCCATGCTCCAGAGAGATACTTCTATCAGCATGCCAGTGCAGAACATCTCAGTGCTTTCAATTTAGAGCTACACAATGTATCATTCCCCAGTATTTTCAGGGGGGTAGTGGGGGGGGCACAAGTACAACAAGGTACTGAAAAATAACACGTAACTTCAGTCCTGGCTCTATATCTGGAGGAAAAGGGAAAGAAGTGAATTCTGCCACTCTTGGCTTCACGGCCTAAAGGCAAACTTTGAAATTTTCTGCCAGTTGGCCCCATATAGAGGTCAAGGGCAGAGAGCCAAGAGGAGCTTTCCACTGAGACCTACAGCAAGGTGCGGACCCTCCTGCCAGCTCCTGATGCTCCATCTACCGTGATGCTGCTGCCTTCAGATTTTGCAATAGGAGGAGATTCATTCTCTGAATAGCCCTGTATCCGATGATTAACACCAGCGTGGAGGATTTTTGTAGGCTCTCGGTCATCCTCTCTTCCAGGGGAGATAATTACACATACGTGTGCATGTGACAGGGTAGCTCAGATGCCTCCTCATTCACTTACTGATAAAAGAGCTTCCCTCTCAATCAGTTACATACATCTCATCAGTGGACTTTGGAGGCTGATCTCTGTTAGATGTTAACTCACAGCCACTAGATTAAAAATCTGTTATTTCCTAGTCACCTTATATGGTTGCTAGGTGACAAATGCATCTCCTATTCAGCAACAGGAACTACTGAAACACAACAATTTATGACTGCCCATTATCCTCTTTGCTTATAGTGCATGGTCTTTTTGATGGGAGGAAGATGTGCAATTCTAGGATCACCCAAAAGGAGACTTTCAGAGTTGCCACAGTAACCACCTTCACCCAGGAATGGGTCTTCAGGAGAAGGGTTTTAAGATTAGGAGACAGAAGGAATTTTGGGGAAGTTGATTTAATTCACCAAGCCTAACAGGGTCATGGCAGGATTAGAGATATGAATTTCATAAACTGAGTTGTTCTTGTATGCACATGCCCTAGAAAGGATGACATTTCTTTGCTTGATTGTAATAGATTAATTTTCAGCCGTGCTTTTGATTTCACCCAAATTTTTAGGGAACACCACAGAGATACTTCGAATTCTCATAAGAATAGGAAGAAACTAATTTGTGGGCAAATAGGAACCCACATAGATTCTCCTGGTAGTCACTTTGGTGACTGCTTGGGATGCTTTTTGGGAAAGCAGTTGCCTTGCTAAGCTCTGAGCATACTCCTACTTCAGCCCAGAATGAGACTGTAAAATGCTCTTTTTTCAGAAAGAAGGCAAGGAAAGAGACAGCAGAGAAGCCCTGTGTCCAAAGGACTAAAGGAGCTTGGTCACTCGTAGGGAAATGAAGCCTGCAAGGAGCTGCTTACTGTCTCCAGAAAACACTGATGAGATGGAAAAACCCTGCGACAAGGGAGAGTTATTTAAGCTAATGGTCAGTGCTGGCACAGGAAAAATACGACGTTAGCTGGCCACAAATAAAATGAGGTTGGAAGTGCAAAGAGGGTTCACTCTGCCAGGGAGCAGTGGGGCTGTGCAGTAGCTCACCGGTGGGAAGCACACGGGCAGGAAACAAAACATCTCCCAGGATGGAAGCCCGCAGGTTGTCACAGGATATGCCATCACTTCAGCTTGGCTCACTGACCCGGGGAGCCCTTTCCCATGCCATGCAAACCTTCCCAGATGGTGCTTAAATGCCCAAGCCCACCTGCACGTACAGAAATCGGATGGGAGAGTTCAGGGCCTGCGTGAACATGGCAGTTTGAGCTCTTCAGAACAAGGTTTGGGAGAGCTGGCACCCTCCGTTGTCTTTCAAAAGGATTATAGCTAGCTCCTGCTCCCTGATGAATATGGCCCTTTGTGCCTATGTGTGGGGGAAGCGCGGCGCTGGGGGAGGAAAGACTCCAGGACACTCATTTAAATGAGCGCAAACAAGGCTAACATTGTCCTGATGTATCCTCCCCAGGAGGAAAGCTCTGCAGGTCACACCAGGATCTAAGATAACCTCAGATAACTCTGTTTCTGATGGTCCAGGGAGCCCTTTTGTTTGTCTTGGTATATCAGCAGGGAAAACGTGGCAGAGGACAGGGTTCAGTGAAGCCTTTTGCCCACTAGAAAACTAAAGGAAAAGGAATCTTCGCTTTAGGCTTGCTTGTTATTTGCAACAGGGACGTGTTTGTGTACGTGTAGGCATGTCTCAGGCTGAGAACTATAGAGTAACTGCTTTCAGTATGTAGCTATTCATGGAGCCCTCAGACCCTTAAACTGTTTGTGGGAAGCTCAACCTTTATATTTAAAGTCCACTGAACTGTTGTGAGAAATTGCTGTGAATTGTCCAAAATATCCCCATGCCAATCCTATAATAAACACCTGACAAACAGATATTGCAACAACTGAAGCATTGAGCGTACCTAAAAGGATTTAGGCAAGAGCTTTGCTGCCCTATAATTCCCAGGTCAAAGCAACTTCAACAAGTGAACCTTTCTAGCAAGCATGTCTTGTGTGCCTAGGACTCTAATAATGACTCTGCTCCCAGCATTAAAGGAAGAAAGCCACACATGGTGTTGAAGTGCTGTGGAGAGCTGTGTGTGAGGACATTGGGAAGCTGAAAGAATTGGAAAAGTATTTTTTCCACCTTTTTTTCCTCTTTACCTCTCCTTTTTCTTCCCTTTTCCCCTTCCCCCCCCCAACTCTACAGAAAAATTGTTTTGCAGGTGCAAGTTGGATCCTAAAAAGACAGTGACACGCTTAAGAGAATGTGGGCTAAGCCTACAAGTTGCTTGGCTTTACAGGAGGTAGGAGAATCAGAATTCACAGAATTGTATTTTAAGAACTGCTGCACCTGAAGAACAAATAGTAGCTTAGTTACTCTTATTTCTGGCTTAGACATTAGGACTTGAGATAATTCACAGCCCTGTCACCAACTTCCAACTTCGACGTATTACAGCCCACCTGCAGAAAAGGTGCAGCAGACCTTTCTTTCATCTCACAAGCACCATCCCTCCCTTACAGCACGCCAGAAATCAGTTCAAAGGGCTGGGTGGCCCTTGAGACTTCAGTAACAGAAAAGCAGAATTAGGGATAAAGCTGATAAAATAAAAAGCAGCTTGAATAAAGAGAAAGATGAAGGCAAATATCAGAAACACAGTTAGAGTAATCACCAGTAGAAATTTTCCCCTTCAGGTTTTCAAATGTGAAATTGAAGCCGATTACAGCTACTCAAATCCTAAAGCCTGCCGCTGCCCCTTTGTGCTCAGATAGGTTCTGTTACTTTTAATCAGCTGAAATTGTATTTTAATCATTAGAAATTGTATTTGGTTTTTAATTCTTTCTCTTAATTTCCCTTCTTTTTTTTCGCTACTCCACTGCCAAGAGCTAAGAAATTACAGTTAAAAAATTAAAAGTCTTTTGTATTTTAATCCCTGTAATTTACTTAGCTGCTGGATGTAAAAAGACAAAAGGAGAATAAATTGCTTGAAAGCAGATAGAGGCTTCATTTTCCCCTGTCTCTGAGTTACTGAT